GTCAGTAGTGGTAGTGACAGTAGTAGTAGTAGTAGTAGTAGTAGTAGTAGTAGTGACAGTAGTAGTAGTAGTAGTAGTAGTAGTAGTAGTAGTAGTAATAGCAATAGTACAATTAATGGTGGTAGTAGTCGTGGTAGTAGTATTCATGGCAGTAGCGGTAGTAGTACTAGTAGCGGTAACAGCGTCAGTGGTAGTGTTAACAATAGTAGTGGCAGTAGTAGTAGTAGTAGTAGTCGCAGTATTCCAATACTATTTATCGCCAGTTGCAGTAGCAGGTCAGATAGCTCCAGCAATTCTATAACTTGCAAATTGCTTTAGGGGTAATATATACCGTATTTACAGCTGGACATTTTGTCATAGTAGCTTCCGTCGCAGCAGTATCAACAGTAGTATAACCAGCCGCTGCATTTTAAAATTATGTGCCAGTTGGTGCCACTTTGTTTAGACTGGACGACTCAGTAACGGCCACTTCTTCTAGTAGTCAATGTAAATATATAACCGGCAGCACTACTATTAGCCGTGATTTGATCCGCCTCTCCACTTCAAATCGCATAGCTATTGGTAGTAGTAATATCGATATTAGTAATGCGTATTTCGGGCAGGCACTTATTTCATCCGCTGTTGTCGACTGAGGAATTTCAGGCAGTGTGCATGAGGTCTCCTCCAAGCAGTAGCAATGCGTATCCAAATGCTCTGCCATTTTCGCGTAAACTTGCAATGCCTGATCATGGGCCTTGAGCGTTTTTAGTGTGCCATTGCGCATTAGTCCATAACACTAAGTTTGCATTTCTGCAGTACTTCTCCCATGCCGGATGCGTCGGAAATGTTGCACGTGGTAGTCTCCATAAATTGGCCGTTCGACGGCAATTTGAAAGCTGATAGAACAGTTCTTCCGCCAGATAGCGGTTGCACCTATTTTGGATTGCATTGCTGCCAGAATTAACCTTAGTAGGAGCGTTTTGCCAGTCCCTCCTGGCACACCTAATAAGAAGACTCCTCCTACCCCGTTACGGGCATTCCAAATTATTTGATCGTAAATCCCATTCTGCTCTGCTTAGGAATGTTTGACTGTTGGTATGTCAGAAGTTCAACCGTGTTGTAGTTTTGCTCACAGCGCAAATCCACATGTAAGGAAACAGCAGCAGGTCAAATGGGCGATGACATTCCCAGTTTATTAAGAACTTTGTTCGCGATTTCGACGCACATCTCCTCAATCATTATTAACGCCTCGTTTTAGATTTCTGCTGTACAATCCACATTCGAATTTTCCTTTCGTAGTCGCCATAAGATGTCTTCAGCCATGTGCGACTTCCATTTCTCCCGTAAATCTGTTGGAGATGAAGTGGATCAGGCAGTTAGTATGATTGCAAACAATGCACGAATTTGATGTGGATGTGAAGTGTTGCAGGCGTCATCAATACATACATTCCACTGTTGATTGTTTTCCAGTAAACTGCGAGCCGGATATGTGCTGCGGAATGTGGCATGTGTAACGCCATTGACAGATTTGAATTGCCGGAAAGACGTTTGGTCGGGCACATTCACCAACAGCACGCGACTTAAGACGCACTCGTCCCGATTTGGGTGCACGATTTACAGTCTGCCTAGCACAGTTCCTTTGAATACGCCGGAGTGTCCGTCGACTCGCTCTCGTTTGTGTCGAACGAAAGATTTTCTGCACGCAATCCATGTGTAATACGTAGGCACTTCCAAATATAACAGTGTTTTCACAAATGCGTCAGTTTGGCACAACGTGAAGAATGCAGTTAATGTTGTTGCCGGTGGACCTAAGGCAACCTGTTGTGCCTTTACAGCTGTTAAGTAAACACGCTGCCCATTCTCTAAGTGATACTGCCAAGTGAGCCACAGATGGGCTTCTTTCATGTAGGGGTAAGGGGAGAATTAGCCATACGGCTTCGTTGCTACTGATATATTTTCCAGCCCGAAACTACGAGACTTCATCGACTTGTATGTCTGCATTCCTTTCTCTCCTTCCGGGTTGTAGGCCGAAAACGGCCATGTCGCCGCATTTGTTCGCGTACTTACAAATGTATTCAAATGATTCCACGGAATTGCAGTCTTCCACGTTTATTTGAGCATCGTATGCTTTTAAATGCAAAATCGAATATGGAACAACTCAGCGGTCATCTACTTCTACTTGTATGTTACTGGCTCACAATTGAGCGGTTGCCAATCTGCCAATGTCTTCCGCTGACCGTCTTTGTTATAGGGGATTTCCGTCGTTTCCGGTACATGTGTTGCATACGAATGCCCGAGGATATCTCTTAGACCATTTTCCGTCTATCATGCACGGGCAATTGCGATTCAACATACCACAAGCTCCATGTATCCTATTCTTCGCCACAACTTAATGCAAATCCTTCTAAACGTCGGTGTCAGGTAATTCAGCGCATATCGTATCGTCGATTTCGTTGGAGCTGATCTTGTCGTAGAGCCAGATCAAGACATGTGCGTGGGGCAGTCCCGTCTGTTGCCACTCCACCGAATACGTCCAGCAGCGCACAGGCCACAACACCTCGCGTGTCATCATGAATTTCATCAGCGATTTCAGCTTCTGTCGGAAAGGACGTGCTGTGATGTCATGCCCATCCACCGGTGATCGTCCAGGAAGTAAAAGCTGTTGAATGTCGCCCCAAGCGGGATTGCATGGGAGTGTAGGGAATAGGTCTAAACGGCCGTACTGGTGAACATGAGTAATGCATCTTGAGGGTGTACTCATGCGTATGACATTGACTACTGATGTCTGTGGATGGCAGAATCCTTAGCCTCGCAACGGTAGATGTACTACCGTAATTTACAACTGTATCAAGCAAATGAATATATTCTTCAAACCGCAGTCTGGTCTGACTTAAGCGAATGAGGAGCAGGCGTTCTGTTTCCATTTTTCCATACATACCCACAGTGTACTAGTGAAACAATTTGCGGCATTTCGGAAGGGGATTACTTACATTCTGTCGAATCATTAATCAGTAGGAGTGGTAGTTCATTGCGCTGAATTGCATGTGCGTTTCCTCACCGCTGGCTGGAATTAGCATCTTCAAGTTGAAGTTATATCCATCGGCACCATCATGAAAAAATAGGTGGATACTGCAAGGCATCGTAGCGCCGATGCGTTTCTGGAACTCTTGTCAGTTGATTGTTTCGCCGATGAAGAACAATATCTCTACATTGAGATTGATCTCCAACTATAACAGTTGTCACTGTTCATCGAATAGAAGGCAGCTACGTGTTGCAAGAATGTCCGCCCGGCCAGTTAGAAGGTGGGTACAACTGACAGACGCATATTGTTTCACATCAAAATTTCATAGTGTCAGAAAGCCCTAGCAGACACCAGCGACAAAAACTGTATTTTTTCCGCAATGAGGGGATCAGTAGAACAGACCGGCATGTGGAACGAAGTTCAGAACACAAGCGGGCAGGGGCCAAATAGGCGGCCACAGGCTTACTTCACAGCTACCTTACGTATTGATGTTTGTTCAGTAGGTGTACTTGGGGTATTTTTTTGTCGCCGCGGCAAAAAAATACCCCAAGTACACCTACTGAACAGACTAGGTAGGGTTACCTAAAATTTATGTCCGCTACACAATGTCCCTTTTATACTCTTACGCACACAAACTTCTCCCTTCCTAAACCACCTCTGGGTAGTTCGCATGTGCGGCAATTGCGCTGTTAACTGCGAGGTTGCCGGTTTCGTGGTTTAAGCCGGTTTCCTGTCATCATCATTCGCTTACATTAAATTAACGCGCACACTATTGCACACCTCCCCCCCCCCAAACCCGAAGGCTTATAACCTACGCCGTCCAAACATAAGCCTTCCACTTGGGGCAGCAGCTACCAAAGGCTTCAGGCTCTTAAACCACTGCGGTATCTACATGAACCCCTAACGCTCCGTCGCCATCTAGCCCACAACCCCCCTCCCCCAAAGGCGTATCACCTACGCCGTCCTAACATCAATCCCGGCAGTCCTTCTCCCCCTTTATACAAACTGTCAGCATTCGACAACTCCCTCACCGGCTGTTCCCACTTCCGCCTGCTTCACAGTCTACTGTCCCCTCCCCCCGTAATTTTTGTTAGTTGACCTGATATGCCCTTCACGGCGGGTGGTTCAAGTCACCAGTCACCGGCTACCCCGATTCCTCCTTACCGTCTGCCATGGTTGGCAGCTGCCTAAGACCCTCCCCGCGCGCCATCCTGTTCCCGCTCTAATGGCCTTCCGTAATCACTCCCGTTCTGCCCCATAAGAGTTTACCGACGAGGCTTAGTGGACGTCATTGCATGATTCAACATCGGTAAACATGTCCACCCACCAAGCCTCCCGGGTCGTCGATCAGTCGCCCTCCTCACTGTGCGTTGATGGCTCAATTACCATTGTTAGAGATACCTGCCCAGCCCACAGACAACGTGCGTTCGATTCTACCACTAGCCCACCACAGACTTCCATCAGCTAACGCAGCCCTGCGGTTGAAATTTACTTAACTGAGTACCAAAACTTCCCTTATTCCGGATGCTTACCAGCACCATAAGCCAGAACACTGCAATAGCAAAATGCGACATTTACTGAAAGGGAACAACACACTAGACATACAGCGCAGTACAGAAAATCGTCCCCGGCTGCCTTGGGTAGCCGGCTTGCCACATCAGTAACATTCAACAGTTAGGTGTACTAGGAAAGGGTATGCGATTACACGCTTGCAATACAATGCAGTACCCCTTATCACCTTAAGCATCCATTTTTGGTAGCGGGCATCCTCATCGCCAGCAGACAATGGCACGATCACTGTAGGTAGGCATGGACAGTAAATGGAGGAAGTACGGAGTCTTCCTTTTACGTCTTCCATCTGCGCCTTCGTTGGTTAGCTTCTCCAATCGTAGTTGGTTGGCTCTCCTCAAACGCCAGCTCTCCCATCCCCAGCAGGTAACGGCCAGAGGCGCTGTAGGTAGGCATGGAGAGTGAGTGGACGAAGTACAGAGTCATACCTTCAAGTTTTCCGTCTGCGCCTTCGTTGGTTAGCTTCTCCAACCGTCCTTGGTTGGCTCTCCTCAATCGCCAGCTCTCCCATCGCCAGCAGGTAACGGCCACAGGCACTGTAGGTAGGCATGGAGAGTAAGTGGACGAAGTACAGAGTCATACCTTCCAGTCTTCCGTCTGCGCGTTCGTTGGTTAGCTTCTCCAATCGTCGATGGTTGGCTCTCCTCAATCGCCGGCTCTCTATTTGACCGGCCGGTAACGGCCACATTCACTGTCGGTAGGCATGGAGAGCAAATGGAGGAAGTAACGATGCTTACCTTCACGTCTTCCGTCTGCACCTTCGTTGGTTATCTTGCCCAATCGCCGTTGGTTGGGTCTCCTCGATCGCCACCTCTACCATCGTCAGGAGGTAATGGTCACAATGACTGTAGGTAGGCATGGAGAGCAAATGGAGGAAGTACAGATGCTTACCTTCACGATATCCGTCTGCGAGTTCGTCGGTTGGTGGGGGATATGTATAAGTTGACACCTGCTGTATTGTAAACTTCTACAGTTCTATATCTAGATCCTCACCGACTGCTGGTGGACGTAGGTGCCGTCCTCAGCGGGTTATACCGACGGCCGAGGATGAAATACAAGCTGTCCTTCATTCATCAGGTGTCGTTCAGTACCTGCAGCGGTGGTGGTTGCTGGCCACCACCTTAGCATGTCGATGTCGGCGTACTGTGCAGATGCAAGTGTTGCCGCAGCATACGGACGGTTATGCATTCCGTTGTGGACACTGCAGACGGAAGCGGTGCCTGCGGACGGGGTCAATGTTCGTTGGTAGTAAGCTCAGTCTGCAGACACTGATGCGTATATGCTACAAGTTCGTCGAAGGTGTGCGGGCCAAGCGGTGTGCGGCAAGTGTAGGTGTCAGTAGAAATACTGCCATGGAATGGTACGGCATTTGCCGCGGGGCCTGCTCACACGCACTTCTATCAGCCGTAACCCAAATTGGGGAACCAGGCGTGGAAGTACAGATAGACGAGACGCTCATAAGTCGCCGCAAGTATAACAGAGGACGACCGCGGTGCCAGTTGTGGGTCGTCGGTATGTACGATACACGCAGGCGGAAAGCCCTATTTGAGCAGGATAACAACCGCAGCTGGGAGGCCCTAAGGCCCGTCATAAGGAAGTGGGTGGCTGCTGGTAGTGTTATCGTAACCGATGAGTGGAAGGGTTACACCCGACAGTTCGACCGTCGATTTCGAGGATGTCCACCGTGTGCCCCACAGACTGCATTGTGGGAGCAGGGACGGTGACTTACGCAGGGGTTTATAGTGCCAGTAGACTTGCGTAGCATCTACCTACACTCTCTCCTCCTCCCCCGCCTAAGCCCGGTGTCAAGACCAAGTCAAAAAGACCGGAGACGGGGGAGGCCACAGGTGGATGGCTCGGACGGATCCTCGCCTTGGCGCTCCACTCCGCACCCCCTGGTCCACACACAAATGACCAGGAGCTGACCACAAAACAACGGGGTGGCGGCAGTGGTCCAGTTGTGCGACGAATGCCGACAACAGGGTCCACCAGCGCACCCCGCAAATGTTGGCATTTGTTATTGCGCACAGATAACGCCTGCCAGAGTCCGATGTGGCCCCCGTGTTGGTACAGCGCATCTAACACGTGGCCCGTTTAGAGGGCAGTACACTGTCAACCACAGTAGGATCTTCGAGAATCCCACAACGGGACGGCATACGAACGCCACAGCGGCCTACTGGAGAAGATTAAAGAGGAACCTGTACGAGTCTGGCCTTGTCTGCGGCAGAGCAGTGTGGGCCCACCGAGATGAGGTTCAGTACCGCCTCTGGTTCGACCTAAGGGCCGACAACATGGCAGCCTCCTGGGAAAATTTCCTACGACATTGGGCAGAAGCGTATCCAATTGAATGCGGTCGTTACCTGCAGCCACGTGGACTGTAGATAGGCATGGAGACTAAGTGGAGGAGGTACGGAGACTTACCTTCATGTCTTCCGTCGGCGGCTTCGTTGGTTAGTTTATCCAATCGCCGTTTGCAGGCTCTCCTCAATCGCCAGCTTTCCCATCACCAGTAGGTAACGGCTGCATTCACTGTAGGTAGGCATGGAGAGAAAATGGAGGAAGTACAGAGACTTGCCTTCACGTCTTCGGTATGCGCCTCCGTTGGTTAGCTTATCCAGTCACCGTTGGTTGGCTCTCTTCAATTGGATACGCTTCTCCCCAATGTCGTAGGAAAGTTTTCCAGGAGTCTGCCATGTTGTCGGCCCTTAGGTCGAACCATAGGCGGTACTGAACCTCATCTCGGTGGGCCCACACTGCTCTGCCACAGACACGTCCAGACTCCTGCAGCTTCCTCTTTAATCTGCTCCAGTAGGCCTCTATGGCGTTCGTATGCCGTCCCGTTGTGGGATTCACGAAGCCCCTACGTTGGTTGACAGTGTAGTGCGTATAACCTTCCGACGGTAGGCGGGTGTAACCCTTCCACTCATCGGTTACGATACCACTACCAGCAGCCACCCACTTCCTTATGACGGGCCTTAGGGCCTCCCAGCTGCGGTTGTTAACCTGCTCAAATAGGGCTTTCCGTCTGCGTGTATCGTACATACCGACGACGCACAACTGGCGCCGCGGTCGTCCCCTGTTATACTTGCGGCGACTTATGAGCGTCTCGTCTATCTGTACTTCCACGCCTGGTTCCCCAATTTGGGTTACGGCTGATAGAAGTGCGTGTGAGCAGGTCCCGCGGCAAATGCCGTACCATTCCATGGCAGTATTTCTACTGACACCTACACTTGCCGCACACCGCTTGGCCCGCACACCTTCGACAAACTTGTAGCATATACGCATCAGTGTCTGCAGAATGAGCTTGCTACCAACGCACATTGACCCCGTCCGCAGGCACCGCCTCCGTCTGCAGTGTCCAGAACGGAATGCATAACCGTCTGTATGCTGCGGCAACACTTGCATCTGCACAGTACGCGGACATCGGCATGCTAATGTGGTGGCCAGCAACCACCACCGCTGCAGGTACTGAACGACACCTGCTGACAGAAGGACAGCTTGTATTTCATCCTCGGCCGTCGGTATAATCCGCTGAGGACCGCGCCTACGTCCGCCTGCATTCGGTGACGATCTAGATATAGAACTGTAGGAGTTTACGATACTGCTGCTGTCAACTTATACATATCCCCTACCCCTCTTTTCCCTTATGTGTGCCTAGATATATCATGGTACACCTAACAATGAGGTTTCGTTGAATTACCGGTTGCTTATAGATAGTAGACCATCATGCGGTCTGTGCTAACTACTCGCACAGACCGTAACTTTCTCCGCATTTTCTCACACAACTTATACCCACCGGGCAATATGCTCTGCGGTTAAATTTTAAATTAAAAGGGTTACGTAGGTCTACAAACTGCTCCCATCATGGATACCTACAAATCTCGTAAAACAGCGAACTTACACACAGCGGCCGCCAAGTTCGGGAGTTTGCCGACTTGCTGTAGGTTGGTGCGGTGGCGTTGGAGTACGTCCAGGTATCCTAAACATTTTTCGCGTTATGCGTATTAAACGGTGGATGCGGTGGAGATCACCGATATAACAAATAGGGAGGGGGTGAGGAGGGGGTTAGTAAGGGGCTGGGAAGTGACGCAATTGTCATAAGCAGTTTATTCTATCACTCTTACCCAACCGTAGTACATCGCTGTCCCCTTTGCGTCCCGCTTGCGCATCGTCTGCTTCCCGTGCATCTGATGCACACCACACCAAGTGTGGCGCCAACGATCCCATTGGTTAGCCGCTTGGCGGTTCCGGTTTTCTCGCCCCGGCCGCCAATCACATCACGTCCCCTGCTAACCCACCTGTGATTGAGTATTGCCTACGGTACTCCCTATTTGCACGCCATCCTCCAGTATTTTTCATTTTATTAAAACAAATAATTATTTACCTACAATTTCCAACATTTTTTCTACATTCAGCCGTCAATCTAGTGTCCTCTGCTGTTTACCCCGCCCGTTCTTCCCCTCAAAACCGCCATCCCGTTGTACCCGACCCACCTAGAGATATTTTATCACTGTGGCCGCCTATTTGGCCCCTGCTCTGTCGGGAGAGGCGTATCATCGCGCGGCAAAGGAATTGCATCTGCGGAAAACCACTGCATGTAAAAACCTTTCGTAAACCAACAGATTCTGCGGCATTTCGTTGCCCCAAATGCCGAAAGACGAAATCGATAAGAAATCGGTCAATATTTTGCAACAGTCGGCTTCCAATATCGACAATATTAAGAATTATACTAGGTTTTGTTTGGGGCACACCGGCGATGGAACGTGCAGATAAGATTGGCATATAGCGTACAACAGGAGTCTTCTGGTACGCCGTGTGCAGAAGTGTGTGCTCAGATGCCCTTCGACGAGAAGTCACTCAAGTAGGTGGTAAGCGTAAAGCGATCCAGGTTGACGAAAATTTAGTTAACCGAAGAAAATACCAAGTCGGAGGCCGAAAACGGCAGGACTGGGTAATCGGTGTGTACGCTACTGATCGCAAAAGAGCCGTACTTGAGCAAGTTAATGACCGAAGTGCGGCCTCCTCTGTTACCACTATCATTAGGAAGTGGGTTGTACCCGGACGTCTCATTGTAACCGATAAGTGGAAAGGCTATGCCCCCCTCGCGACACTGGGCTACACCCATTTCACAGCAAATCACTCAAGGAACTTTATCGATCCGACAACTGGCAAACATACCAATGTCAATGAGGCATATTGGAGTCGGTTAAAACGATCTGAACGAAGGAGCGGCTCCCTGAACGGAAGCAGTCTATGGGCATACCTGGAGGAAGTGCAGCATCACCTGTGGTATAAACTAACTGGCATCGGAATTCTGCAGACAGGGCGGACATTCTTGCAAGACGTAGCTGCCTTCTATTCGATTAACAGTGACAACTGTTATAGTCGGAGGTCAATTTCAACGTAGAGATATTGTTCTTCATCGGCGAAACAATCAACTGACAAGAGTTTCAGAAACTCATTGGCGTTACGAGGCCTTGCAGTATCCACTTATTTTTTCGTGATGGGTCCGATGGATATAACTTCAACCTTAAGATGTTAAGTCTAGCCAGCGATGAGGAAACGCACATGAAATTCAGCGCAATGAACTCCCACTCCTACTGATTAATGATTCGCAGAGTGTAAGTAATCCCCTTCCGAAATACCGTCAACTGTTTCACTAGTACATTGTGGAAACAGAACGCCTGCTTCTCATCATCTTGAATCAGACCAAACTGCGCTTTAAAAAATGCATTCATTTGCTTGACGGTAATACAACTACCGTTGGAAGGCTAAGGATCCTGCCATTCACAGACATCAGTAGTCAATGTCATACGCATGAGTACCCTCAAGATGCAATTGCTCATGTTCGCCAGTACGGGCGTTTAGAACTATTCCCTACACTCACATGCGATCAGTATCGTACATACCGATTACCCAGTCCTGCCGTTTTCGGCCTCCGACGTGGTATTTTCTTCGCCTAACCAAAGTTTCGTCAACCTGGATCGCTTTGCCCTTACCACCTACTTGGGTGACATCTCGTCGAAGGGCATCTGAGCACACACTTCTGCACACGGCGTACCATAAGACTCCTGTTGTACGCCATATGCCAATCTTATCTGCACGTTCCGTCGCCAGTGTGCCCTAAACGAAACCTAGTATAATTCTTAATATTGTCGATATTGGAAGCCGACTATTGCAAAATATTGACCGATTTCTTATCGACTTCGTCTTTCGGCATTTGGGGCAACGAAATGCCGCACCATCTGTTGGTTTACGAAAGGTTTTTACATGCATTGGTTTTCCGCAGATGCAATTCCTTTGCCGCGCGATGATACGCCTCTCTCGACAGTACCCAATAACTGCCGGCGGCCGTATATGCCTTTTTATGCGCTTGTCTTCTGAACTTCGTTCCACATGCTGGTGTTTGCCGGTCTGGTCTACTGATCCACTCATTGACCCTAAAACATGCAGAAAAAATACAGTCATTGAAGTTGGTGTCTCCTAGGGTTTTCTGACACTATGAAATTTTGATGTGAAACGATATCCGTCTGTCAGTTGTACCCACCTTCTAACTGTCGTGTCGTGTTTATTCTACAACCCAAAACTGAATAATAAGCAGAATCCTTCTACTTGCTCAAAAATTTTCTGGAATTTTTTTATCTATTTGCTGTGACGGAACCCCCAACGGTCTTCCGAGAAAATTAGTTATTATTCATTTACTTTACCGGCATGCGATGGCTTTTGCGGGTATGATGGTGAAATACTGACGTTGATCGTCCTTGCGTAATCTGGATGATCTGGACAACTGCAGTTTACGAGAGCAGTGAGCTATGCAATAGGACTCCTACCATATCTCATTGTTCTTGACACTGGTAACTGACAGAGCATGGCGTACTATGAGACTCCTGTTGTACGCGATCTACCAAACCGTATCTGCACATTCTGTCACTGGCGTGCCCCAAACGAAGCCCAGTGCGATTTTTAGTTCTGTCAATATTGGAAGCCGACTATTGTCAAAAATAGGTTGGTTCCTTCTAGATTTCCTTTTTTCGGCATTTGGGGCACCAAAATGCTACACCATCTGTTGATTTTGAGTTGCAATGTTTTTCCACAGATGCAGTTCTTTTGACCTGCAATGGTCTTCTTCTTCTCCTGACGGTGTTCAATAGTTGTTGGCGACCGTACATTGCGTGACCGATCTCATGAAATGTTGACCGAAATTCTGAAATTCGTTTTCACTTAGGAGGGATCACTTAAGTGGGATTGGAATACTGATTATCTTGCGGCTTAATTCTATAGTATTCCGAACTCGTCAGGATGTCGGCATTGCAATGTAATCCCTTTCGCTCTCCTGCAGAAACCACACTCAGCAAAAATTAACTACTTAAGTGGCATGCATTTTTCACATTAATTTTCGATGATCTTATAGATTCAAATATATTTTGCAGAAAGAATGCACAAAAAGATGCTTTCTTCCACTCGCTTGGCAGGAAATCACATTGCCCTTGCATTGTTTACCCGAAGGAAATTTATAAGTAGGTTTCGAAGAAGTCTCTCAATTTTCGAATAATTTCGAGCCAGATCAGAGGGTTCACTAGCGTTTAGCGATTTCAGTCTACAAAGTGTATGCTTTCTGCGTGGGCAAAATCATATACTCCTCTATGTCATATAGAGTTCATAACATTTTGCAATGGATGGGGGCTATGTTGTACATTTCATGAGGAGCATTGATGAACGGACATGCACGATGCCGTAGGAATGGACATTGCACGGTCTTAAAAATCTCATAATCAGAAACTTTTTAAAACCGAACGGCAACCTTTCTTAGGATATAAAATGTAAAGACAATGTGATTTCCTACCAAACGAGTAGGTATGGCATAATGCCTTTTACTATACAGATTTCACAATAATCATAGTACTACTTGTTTGTAAAATGGGCATTACGTGGTTATTTCACAGTAGTCGATTGCCTTCGACTCGAATGTTCGTTAAAATTTCGGGTCCGACCCTAGAAAGTCACGTCTCGAAGACTTCATTCCATGTCCTGCATTGAATAATTTCTGAAATTATTCGCCTGACAACGACTTATGCCTCCTCGTGCGCCACCTTTGCGGGTACTTACATCCCGAATTGATGCGATGTTTACTTTTATTATTAGACGTTTTCACGGCCTGACCTTTCCAGTGACGATTTCAAAAACCCATTTTCGGAGACTTGTGTGCCCTATGCACAGCTATCATAGTACATTACGTATTGCCTAGTGTGTAGGTGGCTAATACCGAATATGGGGCTGAATCAGATCCCCGCTCCCCTGCAACCTCTGTCGTCTCTGCCTCCTCGTCGACAGCAGCTATAATTGCCGACTCCGACGGTACCAGGCCTTCACCGTCTCCTGTCATGTAGACCTGTAGAACCAGATGAGTGGGAGGCAAGTTCATGTGTCGGTCGACCGGGTCGTTGACGCAAATTCAGGCTTCTGAAACTTGCTCTGATGTGCGATCGTTGCTTCACCCACAATCCGAAATCATCTCAGTCGAAAATGTGTCCCATCTGCGCGGTATGGGCTGCCCTCTGTCAGACATCGCGGCTACTCAGACGTTATGCCAATGGATACCGCCAGCATCGACTGGAACCCCTCCCGTCTGCTCAAATGGTACACGCCTTGTCCGGAGAGCGTGTCCAAATCCATATGGCCACGACAAAACCTTAAACAAATCCAGCCAGCACAAGCCAAACGGCAGCCCACGCTGGTTGCCGACATTCGTCATGACCTTGTCTGGCGTACGTGTTCAGGGTCCCGCTGTTTTGAGGTCATTCACCTTCACAGCTAGCAGTTCCAGGTGCACTGACGACCTACGGCCATTCGACTCACTTCAACTCGGACGGACGTGCGCCCACAGAGTCGCAGCTGTCCATACACCGCTTGAACTCACCACCGCCTGCGAATGTAGTACAAGCTACTCGAACACCACACCCCTCCCCCCCAGAGCAAATGCAACAAGCACCACTTCGTCAGATTGCCCCAAAAACCGTCAAAAGCAGCTGCCGTCACTGTTTCACAGACTCTCAGGCATAACTGGACACAGTCAACACCAGCCCCGGATTCGCCAGCGGCCACTGCCGCCTGAGGGGACAATCCAGGCTTCTGTGCACGAAAAACCTCTTGGGCTGGTGACTCTTGTCTTTTCCTACAACTCGGGATAATTGTGGCGCACAGACTACACTCTCACCACTCAGACACTACATACCCACGGTACTTCCCTTAAACTGTTTCCTTCTTCCTTGCTGTAAACTCACTCGCGGAGATCTGTCACACGTCCACCTAGCATCAGATCGACCGTAGTGATGGTTTCCCGGCCAAGCTTATCAGAGAAGACTGCCTGTCCCCTAGTGTCAGCATGCGCACAGGACACAGTCTGCTGAAGATGGCCATTGTCAGGCGACTTACCAACGCTATGCGTGGGCTGTACTCCCACAGGCAAAGTTTATCCATTTTCACCCGTAAAATTATTATTTTACCCAGCAACTTAATAATAAAAACAGGCCACATTTCCAGTCCTTTTTACGGAAACTTTACGGGCAACATTTTGGCTGGCAGGCAAACATGTGAACACAAAGCGCATCTGGGCCGCCTGAAAGGGAGATTGTGCGACGGGGTGTCTGGCGTCGGGCCGAGCTGTCTGCACCTATATTAACGGGGTACACCGTCGGCCTAAAAAAGCGTGGGGAACCATCTTATCACACATCACCGAAGGGCATCCTTTGCGGCAGCCGGACTTCGGATAAGCCGGGTGGAGCTGGTACTGAGCAGGCGACTTTCTCAGATGTAACAATGTTCATGATTATAAAGCAATTTCAAGTTATCTGCCTCTGATATGTTAATAAGGAGAACTTGAATGTAACTGACGCAAATAAAGGTAGTCTATTCTGGGATGTTAAGGACTACCTGGATCCAACAACTATGTCGGCGGTGGAATGCGGATAGGAGGGCGCCTAAGGGGTGCCGTCGAAAGGGCACAAACCTCTCGCCTTACATCAGACAACTCCGGGTTGAGGGGCAGTATTACAAGTCTCTACAGAAACTTCTGCAGCGCCTTATTCACGGGGCGATTGAGTGCAAGGTGATTTGCACAAGCCGCTGCAGCCCGTAGGACAGGCCGAAGCTAGGGCCTGACTGGTACAGGGGCGAAAACGCATTCGGCCAGCGCCCACTTAAGTGAAGGCAGTAGTTGCCATTGTATAGTGAACCTACCCTGACTGCATACCAAATCCTTGGCGCTAGAACCCTTGTAATGACCCTAATCCCGGCCTTCGCTCCAGCACCGCGGCTCCGACTGGCGTATCAACGCATAAACGGCGGTCATTCGCCCGAACCTGTTAGGTCCCGTATGATGCCCTCAGCGCATTTGGCTAATCACAGCCTCCTACTCAGAACCCGACATGGGGGTCGTGGTGGTTATGGTCGGCCCTCAACTTTAGCTACCGCGTCACTTTCAGCGACTCGCAACCTCGAACAACAGCGCAAAAATCTTACCAGTGCAGAATAAACCTCCCTAAAGTGGGCACCCTACAAGTTACAACAGCGTTCGCGGTGACTGCAGCACCCGACGGACAGGTATGTCGGATGGCTCTCTCTCACACACGGCATGCAAAGAACACAGAGCCAATGCCGTGGACACAAAGTGAGAATTCAAAAGTCAAGATACTTTGTTCTGTACAGAGGGGGGGGGGTGGGTGGGGGGGGGACGAGATCGAAAGCAGAGACGAAAGAGGGGGTTTCTATAATTGTGTGCACACGCGAAAGATGAAAAGGACACGACCCCTGTAGAGAGATAATCACGCTTGGACCTGCTGGAAAAAATCCTTGGCCTCTTGCCACTTGGAGAGGGGGAAGCGCCTCTCAAAGCGGGTCCAGGAGTCGCCTAAACGGGCGGAAAAAAGAACAATTGAAAGACATTATCAAGTGAAATTGAGGGAACGTTTGAAATTCTCCTATGTCGACCCTGACAGATCCACATGCCACAAGAGTTACTTTGTGAAAAGTAAAAGTCAATTGGGTTTTTGCCGCTGAAGCCTCCTGGCATCTACGGCAAAGTGGTGGCTTCGAAGATTGTCAACTGGTGGGATAACCCCGTCTTCGTGGCCAGTGCTGGGCGACTGGCTAGAGGACTGAAAGCCTCTATGACACCCCCACTTAGGTGAGATACGAGTCACCTCCTAGTTCATTACGCACAGACCAGAGCGCGCACGTGGCACGCGTAGACGGGCTCTTGACCTCGTCAGTCACCGCACCCGATCCCGTCCCCGGACTTCCTGACTTCGTCTTGGAACCACGCCCAAGTGAGCAGGGGGAAAAGAATGCGGTAGAGGCTGCGCAAGTCTGACATCAATATAAATTAACTCACACGCTGTCATCGCCCCTGCGCCCGCAATGCTGTGGGGCACACGGTGGGCATCGTCGAATGCGACAGTCGAACTCGGTGAGAGATTGAAACTATGAGTCGTGGGGAGCCTAGTACCCTCTGGGTACTAGTCTTTATAATGGAAACGGAGTACCAGAATACTACATCCACTTGTTTTGTGTTATTTTCAAACAGTTTCAACAGAGTTCCTCTGGCGTTTAAAAATCACTTCATAGGAACTGTCTTCTGGAATTTTGACGAGGTAGGAAATGCGTTGGGATTGTGTTCACCGATCAGGTTGATATTCCCGGTTTCAACCGACAAGACAGCAGGCCCCAGGCTCAATTGGTAAAGCGCTCGACTCATTAGGCAAAGATACCGGGTCCGAATCCCAGGCGTTCCAAACTTGCGGTTGGATATGGCTGGGTAATGACGGCTGATACGCCGGAAATGACAATTTCAGTCTCCTTGTCATAGGCGGTACTCCTTTTAGAAGAACATGTTTACATACTCAAAAAGCAGAATCTTTTTGTATGAATTATCGCGACATGGTTCTGAGGCACCGAGCGGTAGCTAGTGCAGACTTTTCCTAACAGAATCAATTGAATTATAGCCGTGTGTGTTGTTTGGTATTCAAGATAAAATAATATTCAGCAATCAATTTTATCGCAGGTGAAGATTCCGTTGGAAATACACAAGAGTTTTGCTGTGGAACCCTTACCTATCTAGTATGCACGTCGAATTATTGTCCTGTTATAGCTTTTCAAGTCCGAACTATTTTCCAGGGAGATTTATAACTGAAAAAACTCATACTACAATGCATGTGAAATGAATAATTTCGCAGTCGCCGAGAAAAACAAGTCCCTGCCTAACTGCGTGCTGCGAGGGAGACAGACGGATGATCTGCTGCTCACATGCTAGCGTCACTGAGAAAGTGCGGTAAATGCAGCAATGCAATGAACATCCAATCATACCTGTTGGAGGGGGGTTGCCGGTCTTCACCTTAGCGCTCTCCACACACTGACCGT